CAGTCCCCAGAAATCTACTGGGAGGTATTGCCACGTGTCAGTGAGTTGCTAAAAGTGAATCACACTGGCCAGCTGCTCACTGCGGTTTGGTTTTAGCCCAGGATCTACAAACAACCATTACGCAGGTCTGATTCCTCCCTTTCATAGTTCCCCTCCCCCTCCTTTCCTTCTCTTCTCCCCTCTTCCCTCCTACCTCCTTTCTTCTTCCTCCTCTTCCTCCTCCTCTCTTCCTTCTCTCCTCCCCTTTCCCTCTTCAGACTTCCCCCTCATCCTCCTTCCTCTTCCTCCTCCCTCCTGTTCTCCCCCTTCTCCTACAGCGGTGGTGCTCCCTGGCTGCCATTGGAATCAGCTGAGGAGCTTGGCAGGTCTGGGTGCAGCCCAGCATGGGATTTAAAAAGCCCTGTGACTCTGGAGTGTCCTTCAGGGCTGAGAACCAGCTTTTCCCAGTCATGGGGGGAATCTAATGCTCTGTATGTAGGGCTGATGAGGTTTAGATCAGAATGTGGGCAGGTGGCCTTCCTGGTTGTCTTGAGCTCCACTTTCTCCTTATGACATGGTGAAGGAGAGACACATGGCACCTTCACATGACTGACTCACCAGTTAGGCATTTAGATGTCCAGAAAAGCTGTTCACACACAAAACCACTTTTCATGTCTTTGGGGAAGAAAACATAAGCTATCTGTTGGTTCAGCAACATGTCTTCCACACTTGAAAAGTGTCCTCCCACATCTACTCTGTGCACCAGCCTGTAACGTTTCATTCTGGTTAGTGACGGGGCTACAGTGGGTTTATATGAGAGGGGCCATCCTGCACTGGTGACCTGAAGAAACTCTTGTGTGCACGTGATGTGTTACGTGTCTCGTGTTAGGGACAGCTGGAACAGAATTATGCATGGGCCACCCCACATGATACAGGACCACGGCTTAGCCGCTCAGGCCACACATAGCACGTGCACTGGGAATCAGGCTCTTGCGAAACTGCCAAATCTGGACCCAAGAAGCGAGTGGCCTTCTCTTCCGTGCACCGGCCAGGAGAGAGCCTTGGTCCTCTGTGTGTGTTACCTTCTGGTCACGTGGATCCTGCAGACCAAGGTGCCAGGGTGCAAGCCTTGGGCCTTGGAGGCATTTTTGAGGATAAGAAGAGGCTGCCAGAAGCTCCTCCAGGGGCAGCAAGGCAGCTTTGCAGCTATAGGACAGGCACAAGCTCTGCCAAAACACTCCTGGGTAATAGTGATGTGTGAATTGGCACAGTATTTCAAATCGGAGGAGAGAGCTGGCAGAGAGAAAATGGCAGTAACCATCTCACCTGTGAGCATGGAGTTGGGTGACAATTCTGGTTGGGCCCAGCACCACTAGGCACATGTACTTGGCCCTGGGGAAGCACTCTCAGGGCTGGGTACTGTTAGCGTTGTTCACTATTTCAGATGAGCAAACTGCCATAAGGGGCTCTCTTGGTGTCAGCCATTTGGAAGTGAGTGTGTTTCTGGTGGTGGTAGCCTCCATGGGGTCATAGTACATTAAAATCTAAATTGTTTTCACCTGGGGAAGCAGTGATACACAAAAGTGTGTGACATGAGCCTTGAAGTCCACACCCTGACTCAGTGAGATTTTAAAGGCAACCATGAAGCAGACTTACGTAGTCAGAATAATTCTCGAAATGACTGAGGCCCCGTGGAAAGTATGCTCAGACTGTGCAGCTCACATGCAGGGCTTCTGGCAGGCCTGAGCGGATGCATGGCCTCATTCGTCCGTGTGTGGCTCTGGTCCTGCTGGACCGAGTATGCACTTCCGCAGGAGACCATGGGGCGCTTCTCTGCTTGGAACTTTGCACCTAGGTGTCCCAGCTCCAACCTGTTGTAGCCCTCTCTGTTTTCAGCTAGCTTACATGGATTTGTTTATTGTGGTTTAAAAAAAAAAAACAGGTAAAATTTAGCATCTTAATCATTTCTGAGTGTACAGGTCTGTAACGTCACTGTATGTCCATTAAATGACAACTTCCCATTTTCCCCTCCCTCCACTCGACAACCACCGTTTTACATTCTGTTTCTATGAATTTGGCTATTCTAGACATTTCATGTGAATCATATATTTGTCTTTTTGTGATTGGCTCATTTCACTTAGCAGAATGTCATCAGTTCATCCACGTTATGGCATGTGCTAGAATTTCCTTTTTAAAACTGAATAGTATTCCATCGTATGTATTTACCACCTCTTTATCCATTCATTCATTGATGGACATGTGGGTTGCTTTTGGCTATTGTGAATAATGCTGCTACGAACATGGGTGTACAAATACCTCTTCAAGACCCTGTTTTCAATTCTTTTGGGTATACTCAGAAGTGGAATTGGATCTTTTTTAATTTTTTGAGGAGCCGCCAAACTATCTTCCTAGCAGCTGCACAATTTTACATTTTTACCAGCAGTGTACAAGGTTTCAAATTTCTTCACATCCTCGCCAACACTTGTTATTTTCTGTTAATGGATGTGAAGTGGTATCTTGTTGTGGTTTTGTTTCGCATCTCTCTAATGATTAGTGATGGTTCCATGTGCTTGTTGACTGTTTGTGTATCCTCTTTGGAGAAAAGTCTGTTTCTGCCTTTGCCCAAGGGGTCAGTCCCTTTGACTCTTCATGAGGCAGCATCCCCACGTGGCCCTCCTGCGCCCTGCAGTTTCTTCCTGGAGTAATGGTCTGATGGTTCCCTTCCCTCTCCAGTGGGAAAACCAGGAAGACCTCACATTTTTTCCACTGTGGCTCTCCTGGCACATGTCACCTGTTTGGGCTGGATTCAGTCTATCTCCTGTGGCAGAAGAGGAAGCCTTGCTGGCACTATTTAATGGATGTTCTGTGAGACTCCCTTCCCACAGCCCCTCTCCCTTCTCTTTCTCTTTTTGCCTTTGCCAAGTGAGACAAGTGTAGTTGCAGTTGCCTGTGTTTAAATGGCCTTGGGAGCAGCCCACTGCATAGAAAAAGTGCCCTTATATCCTTGGGCCTCTGGAAATAGTCTCTTCTGCCCACAGTTGAGACTCAGCAGGGGTCTCAAACCCAAATGCCTGCAGGACTCAGGTGGGTACTCTAAATGCCGAGTGTGTGCTCTACCTACAACTTTCCATATTAAGAAAAGGTTTATTTGTGATGGGCTTCATTGAACAAATGACCTGGTGACGACTGCCAGTCTTAACCCCTCTCACGCAAACCCGAAAGGGCACACTGGGGTTGGCCCATCTGCCGGGAGGGCAAGACCTCACTGCTGACGGTGGCCCACAGACCAGCAGCACCATGTTGCCTGGGAGCTGTTTGAAATGCAGAATCCCTGGCCTCACCCCACAGAGTCAGAATCTGCACTTAACCAGCTCCTTGGGTGTTTTGTGTGTTCTTTAAAGTGTGAGAGGGCTGGTCCCAAGGGATTGCCTCAAAGTAGACACTGATTGCTCCTGGCTGCCACCCAGAGAAAAGAAACTTATGTTCGCACAAAACGCTGTCCACAAGTGTTCTTAGCAGCTTTATTTGGAATAGTTCAAAACTAGAAACAATACAGATGTCCTTTAGTGAATGAATGGATAAACAAACTGTGGTCCAATCATACCATGGAATACTTTTTTGCAAAAAAAGGGGGAATGAAATATTTCTACAGGCACTAAATTGGATGGCTTTCAAAGGCATTGTGCTAAGTGAAAGGAGCCAGTGTCAAAAAGTTATGTAGGGGAGGGAAAAGCTTTCTCTGCTCTTCTCTTAGGTTCTGTGGCTGGGGCTTGGGAATTAAACTGACAAAAGACAACAGGAGAAAAGGCATATAGATTTTATTGATGTTGATCTTTTTATATGTGCAAAGTCTTCACAGGAAAAAAGGGAAAATCCAAAGAAGTGGTTAGGCTTGGGCCTCATATACTGTATAAACAAAGGATGATAAATTGTGGAGAAGTGATTCGACAAAGGAAAGGGGTTTGGGCTTCCAAGGGCATTAAAGTATGAGAAAGTGACAAGCAAAAGCTTGGAAAGAGGGTAGCCTGAAGCTTTTCAGGCTGCGTCCAGCAACATGCCCTGCACATCTTCCCTCTTGGCCAGTTTCTGTGTCCGGAGCTTCTTCACGGAGCTTGCCCTGAAGAGTAGAGCTGATACAGACCCCAAAACTGCTGAGCCTCGAGTTATGGGATGTGCCTGTGTTCAGGAGACTCGTCATAGATATCAGTGTCCAGTTTATCAAAACTCTTCTATGCTTTAAGTTCTTTATACATGATAATGGTGGGTGGAGAAGTGAGGCAGGTGGGGTAAGGTCCAGCTTTCTCTGTCGGAGTCATCCATACTGCTCAAGTGTGGGGTTCCGGAGCCACCTCGTTGGGTGCCTTGGTCAGACATCCTCACTTATGCCAAGCTTAACCCTGATGAGGCTTTTCCAGGCCTTTCTTCTTTCCCTCAACTTTGACATGGTGTTAAATTTCTCATCTGTTTGAGTGAATATTTTCAACAGGACTATTATGAGCTCCTTGCTATCTGAAAGCCAGTGCATGTGGAAGAACTGCCTGTTTGTGTAATAATGAGTCTCTTTTGAAAATATGGCTGTGAACTTTACAGTGGCATAGGAATTAAATGTGAAATCAGCTGGGGAAGAGTTTACAGTTGGAGTTGTGGTTTGGTGTGTCCACACTATAAGCCTTGGCCCCTTCACCTCTTTCGGTGTCTCCTTCCCCATCCAGCCTATGTTTCTGTCTCACTGGCCTTCCATTCTGTGTTTGCATTCTTATTATGATGAGAAACTACAGGAAGGTGAAACCTCGAACTCCTTCCCACCCTTGTTTTAGGGCACATAGTTCCTCAAGTAGTTCAAATGTCTGGGAAGCCTGGGCCTCTCTCCAGTCAAGGACAGAGTCCTCACCTTTTTCTGTAACCCGAGCCAGGGTACCAAGAGGGGGCTGATCCTCAGGCACTCTACAACACACCAATGATGACGTGTGCAATGATACTGTTCTTTGAGAAACCAAATGGTTACGAAGAAAAATGCAGACATGGCCAGTGTCACAGAGAGGGAAAGCAAAGTCCTAACTGGTGGTCCTGTGCACTTACCCTCTTCTGTGCTGAGACCTTTCCGCTTTGTGATCTCAGTCATGTACACCTGTCCTGGTACTGTATGGCTGTGGGGCCATCCTCAGAAGAAAGAGCCATGGCCCCAGCCTAGAAGGCACTCACAGTGGTGCATGGATCAGGCCATCCCCCAACTGAGTTAGAAGGAGAAGAAGAATTAGAAAAAGGGAGACTGGACAGGTGGAAAAAAAGAAGCATTTGTCGACCTCCGTGTAAAGAACATTCGAGAAGTTTTGCATGAACCTCTTGGAATCCTCACAGGGAGTGCCTGTTTGCATTTAAGGAGACAAAGATGCTGAGAGGCCATTTCTCTTGTTCCGCCACCCGGTTCAAAGCTTGTAGGCAGCAGGGGCAGGGCGTGGATGGGCATCTGTCTGAATATAAGGGTTGGGCTCTTTCAGTGTACCTTTCGAGGCTCCATGTCTTTTGTGTGAAACTGAAAGAAGGATGAAGAAGGAGTCAATGTCTGGACGAGATTATATCTAAATGTTATTTCACCTCTCAGGCTTGCTGACTCTAAAAACATGCAGGAAAATAGAAAGTAGAATGGAGTCAAGCAGAGTTTCCCAAGCTCATGCTGTGGACATTTGGGGCTTGATCATTCTCTCTGGTGGAGACTGTCTTGTGCATTGAAGGTGTTTAGTGGCATCTCTTACCTCCATTCACTAGATGCCACGTGCGCCCCCATCCTCATCTGACAACTAAAAATGTCCAGGCATTGCCAGGTATTCCCTGGGGGACAAAATCCTCCCTACCCATTGAGAACCACCAGAGTAAAGGAAAGATACCCTTGGGGAAGGTGGAAAGAGAGTTGGAACAGGAAACAGAAGAGGGGTCCATTATGACTTCCTCTACCTCTGATACATACAGACACCTGAAACAAAAAGGAAAACTACAAAATTAAAGTGAGAAAGGTGGAGAAGAGAGGAGACTCTGTGTGTTGGTGGGGAGGGGGTGGGGGCGGAGGAAAGAGGGAGAGAGAGGGAGGAGAAGAGGAAGAGAGAAATTGATCTTTTTAGCTTGGTTGTTCTGTTTTAAAATTCCTCACAAATGGGTCTCCAGGGTGTTTTGTTCATGTGAAATTGCCTGCAGATGAGCAAGGATGGGATTATCACTGGCTGGTGGCCCCTCTCTCCCTTATGCTTCCTTCATCTGAAGGCCCAACCAGCCTCACAGACATGTTATGGGCAGAAAAAAGCAGCATTTCCCCTGAGTGCTGTATTTGGAAAGAGGATTTGAGGAAAGTAGAACAGTGATAGGAGGCATCTCACGCTATCATTTTCATGGACAAAGAGGGAGAGCCCAGGGATATCGGTCAGCCCCATCCACGTTCCAGGATGTCAACCTCATCCATGTGCCAGGGATGTCAGCCTCATTGTAATTTCATCAGATGAAGATCACATTTTCCTCCGAAGCCAACTGCTTAAGATTGCTGAAAGCCTAAAGCCAGGAGGATAAAGCCTCAGGGAGCCTGAGTCAGGGAACATGTATATGCATGTTTCCTGGGTGTCCCCATGTGTGAGTATATTTTTGCATGCTTTCATGATAACGGCTGAGAAAGAGGTTCCAGGCACCATTTGGTTGTTATGGTAAAATGCTTTAAAATACTAAGCTGAGAGCACTCCCGCAGCCTCAAGAGACAGAAAAGGCAAGTCAACCCTTGGGTAATTACTCATGACATTATTCCATGATTGATTAGTTTAGGGCTTCTGGCTGTGAAATAAAACAGCCTCAGTGAAGAGTCTCAAACAACCATGATTTATGAGTTTAAGAGTCTCAATTAGGTAAAACGATGTATTGCAAATGTCCTTTTTTATAGGGGCATGGGAAATAAGTAGTGTCTGGTGATATGATTGCTAACTTAATTCTTCCAATAAATTCTTTGCTTTAAAAGGAGAAGCTTAGAAAAGACAAAGACATTAATTTATAGAAAAGAATGATAGTTGGCAATTACATGCATTTCTCTGAGAACCACTAGCCCTGGTTTATATTACTTTAAAATATTCAATATAAATGCTATAATACTTTAACTATAAAATACCAATATTTTATTGATTGTATTGACGTTGTAAAATTCTTGCTCTTTGTATGAATAAATAGACATCATCTCATGGTACTTACTGTGTAAAGATGGTGGATGGAAGATATTCAGGAAATATAATATAAAGACTATTTTGAGGACAAATTGATGGTTGCCGGAGGAGGTGGGTAGGCAGATGGGTGGAAAAGGGGAAGGGGATTAAGGAGTACAAACTTCCAGTTATAAAATTAGCCATGGGGATGTAATGCCAGCCCAGGGAATATGGCCAATATCGTAATAACTATGTTCAGTGACAGATGATTACTAGGTTATTGAGGTGATCAGTTCATTAGGTATATGAATGTTGAATCACTGTGTTGTACACCTGAAACTAATATAATATATGCCAACTACAATTAAAAATAAATTTTAAAAAGACTATCTTCAGGTTATTTGAAATACATGGGGTCATGCAGGGAAATCTTAATACAGTGCAACTCTGTGTGCATTAGATATTTTAAGTTATATAATTCATTAAGTGAACATTCTTTAAAAACTAAAGAATCTCATTAATCAGAATTTTCAAGGCGAATTACTTTGTTTTACTTTTAAAAAATTAAATAGTTTTTTTAAATTGAAAAGGAAATGGCTAAATTGCTAAAATGGCTAAATTGCTAAAATGATTCAGACAGACTCACCCGTTACCCTTCCTGCGTCCCCCCACTGATCTGTTTCCATGTAGCTTCCAGAAACTGTAATTAGCCCAGCCTGTGTGTGATGGGAGTGGTGCGTGAGGACACCCAGTACAGTCAGTTCTCACCTTGCTTTGTTCACTCATGAGTCTCCCTCACCATATTCCTGTGTCTTGTGCACAGATTTGCCTCCTGCTGCTAGCCCCTTGAATGTAATGGTTTCTTTAGTGGTGATTGGAGAGTGACAGTAAAAGCTCGCAGGGTCCTGTGAGGGTTAGAGATAATCCATGATTAGCCAGTGCCCACCATGAGTTTAGGTGGTTAAAACTTGTGACAGTTGCTATCATTATTGTATATGTACTATACTATTATTGGTTACATTTACCCGTTCTGTGTCTGTACCGTAATTTATTAAATAGCATTGGCTTGGTTAGTATTTGGGTATACTCCTGTCTTCTGCTCTCACAGCCAGTACTGGAACAAGCACCCTAGTTACTCCTTTGCACCTCCAGAGTATCTAGGGTATAAACTCCTGGCTGAGGAGTTGTTTCACAGGGACCTGGTTGGTTTGGGTAAATGGCCATGTGGTGCAGCAGAGATTCTGAGGCACTCTGCATGTCTTGAGCCAGGCACGAAATACCTGCTTCCCTTCCTTTCCAGTTCAACGTGTGAACATTGGTCTCTCATTTCAGGTTGCCATTTTTGAATTAACACTGTGGTAGTTTTGAGTCTTTCATAGATTTATTAGCCATTTGAATTTATTTGCAAACTTTCATGTCTTGAAGAGCAGAGCACTTTACTCATGGTTACATGTTATATGCTTAAGTCTTTGATCAGCCGCAACTTACTTTTTCATGAAGAGTGAGTTTCAGCTTATTTTTTTTTTCCCAAATGGCTGTCCTATCCCAATCGTTTATGGGTTCATTCTTATTTAGTTGGAAAATCACCTTGTCTATAATTGCCATTTCCATATATACTTGAGTCATTCCTGGATTCTCAAATTCCATCCTATTGATCTGTCCATGTGCTAGTGGAAACAGACATTTCTCTAAGGAAGACAGGCCATCTGTCCATATTTTGTCGAAAACTTTTGCATCTCTCTTCGTAGGAGATATCAATATATGGTTTTGATTTCTTGTAATGTCTTTGTCTGGTTTTGGAATCAGGGTAATGCTGGCCTCATAAAATGAACTGGAAAGTGTCTCCTCTTCTGTTTTTTTGAAGGGCCTATGAAGGATTGGTCTTAATTCTCTAAACTTTTAGTAGAATTCACCAGAGAAACAATCTGGTCCTCTGCTTTTCTTTCTGGGAAGTTTTCAATTACTAATTCATTCACTTTACTTGATATAGATCTATTCAGATTTTCTATTTCTTCTCGAGTCAGTTTTAGTAGTTGTGTTTCTGTAGGAATTTTTTCGTTTCATCTAAGTTATCCAATTTGTTGACACATAATTGTTCATAGTATTCTCTGATAGTCCTTTTTATATCTGTATAGTTGATAGTATCATCCCTACCTTAATTTCTGATTCCAATAATTTGAATTTCCTCTCTTTTTCTCTTGTTCACCCTACTAAAGATTTGTCATTTTGTTGATCTTTTCAAAGAACCAACTTTCGGTTTCATTGATTTTCTCAATTGTTTTTCTAGTCTCTACTTCATTTATCTCTGCTCTTTATTCTTTCCTTTCTTCTGCTGGTTTTGGGTTTAGTTTGTTCTTTTTTAAATTTCTTATGGTGTAAAGTTAGGTTATTAATTCAAGATTTTCTCTTTCAATATAGACATTAAAAACTATAAATTTTCCTTCAACCATCGCATTAGCTGTACTCCATAAGTTTTATTCTGTTGTGTTTTATTTTTATTTACTTATTTTTTTAATCTTATGATTTCTTCTGTGACTCATTCATTATTTAGGAGTGTTCTTTTTAATTTCCATGTCTATGTGTGAATAGCCTAAAGTTTCTTCTGTTATTGATTTGTAATTTCATTCTGTTGTTAGAGAACATACTTTGCATGATTTTAATCCTTTTAAATTTATTAAGTCTTATTATATGGCTTAGAATATGGTCTATCCTGGAGAATGTTCTGTGTAAGCTTGAGAAGACTGTGTATTTTACTGCTAGAGTGAAATGTTCTATAGTATTAGGTCTAGTTGGTTTGTAGTTGTTTTTTTTTTTAAGACTTCTGTTTATTTGCTAATCTGCCTAGTTCTTATATCTGTTATTGAAAGTCAGGTATTGAAGTCTCCAGTTGTTGAATTATGTATTTTTCCCTTAATTTCTGTAAGTTCATGCTTTGTGTCTTCTGGAGCTATGTAGTTAGGTGCATGT